CACCGCCATGTTTGTAATGACTTATCACGAGAACAAACGTATTCACGTGACTTTAATAGCATTTCTTACTTAATGGAAACACTGCAGTTGCGAAACTGTTTTTTCAACATTTACAAAATATCGACAAATTTTTGCGCACATTTGTAATGGAAACACAGCTTATGGTCCAGTGTTGGCCGAATTTATAAATAAAATTTAGGCTTAGGTCACACACACACACTTTTTTTAAGGGATAGTCTTGCCCTTTTTAAAAGGGGCATTCTGTCAAATACAGTTATTCCAGTATTTAACTAAACAATAGCAGTCAAACAGCTCAGAAAATGGAGAAAGGGGTTTGTCTTTGTTCAGGCTAGGCGTACATTTCTAACATTTTTAAGCTTATAAAACTAGCCTGTCTCAAAAATTACATATTGGTATGAAAGAACAATACATTAGCTGATATTAAATCCCTACACTTTTGCACGATACACTCCAGGGAAACCCTTCCTGCTGCTGTACACATCTCAGCACAGCTCTCTTCCCCCTGGGGCTCCACTCCAATGTCTGCCATCACTTTGGCCACATTTCTGTCACAAATAAAGGGCCACACTTTGGCAGACAGATTCCTCTGTGAGCAGTGTCTGTGCCCTCAACATCCATGAGTTTCTTTATCGGGGCTCTAGAGTGCGACCAGCTTGGTCGCAAATGTGACCTGATTTCCTAATAGTGCGACCAAAAAAAAATGTCCGGTCGCACTGGTGCGACCAATCGTTGGAGGGGGAGGGGGCGGGGTCGCATGCACTGAAAAAAAAAAAGTTTCCATGATCCATAAAAAATGAATCCAGCAGTATCAACCATAACAGTCACCCGCCGACACAGTCTCCATCGCTCCTAATAACACTGCGCTCTGCTCGCGGACCCCGCTACACACCTCCCGCGAGCACACACACACACACACACACACACACACACGTTTATTGTTCTATCTTCATGGGGACTTTGCATTGGCTTCCATTCATTTCCCTGTCAACTCTATAGCCAACCATAACCTCCAAGGTAGACTACACACCTGACCCAAACCCTAACCTCACCTGGCTTTGTGGACCAGGGAAATGGTCAATAATTGTACCCACCATGAAGCAATAGCGAAGCAATCGTATTTTTTTTTACCCAGATCTGAGTCTGAAAAACATTTTTTTACTTGTTAACTGTAGAGATGAAAAGAAGATGTGGACGGTTGCTTGCTCTTAAGTCCATCTTGCTAAACAGTCGAGTTCTGCTCTGTGAGCTGCAGATCATTTCAGCAGGACGAGGAAGCTCACGTGTATGGCAGGCCGCTGTTACACTTAATCGGTTTTACCACAGTTACATTCCAAGTATCTGAAATAGGTTCTTCTGGGTCTCAGGAGGATAAAACTAGACATATTAGATATTTAAAAGAAATAATATAAGATTCAACTAATGCTGATGAAATTGCAGACTTTTATGTGTTACTATTTTTAAAAAATCTGCACAACCTTTTAATAAATATCAGTAATATTTCTGATATTAATCAATATTCTCTGTTCATCCTTCTGGTTTATCCAAGGCCAAAGATCATAAGGTGAAACTACAGGAGTTGTCCATCTG